TCCTCCACAACTAGACTGAAGAACAAAACGACATCAACTTGCCTGTTCCCCTTCCACCAATTCCCCAGCACTGTTCCCATCCCCCCAATTCCCCAATAAAAAAAATCTTTAAAAAAAAAAGTTACAAAATAAATATGGGAAAATAGTATGGCCAAGGCTATGGCAGATAGTCTTGAACAAGGCTAAGTTCTATTATTTATCTCAAAAAAAGATAAACTTGCCACAGGGAGTGAAGGGCTCTGTGTGCCTGTGCCTGTCCACTGAGCTCAGCCCACAGCAGCCTGAATGTGGCAGCTGCCTCTCCCAACTCACAAAGTGCTTGGTGTTACTAGCATGTTTAAACAATATTTAGGTAATTTTTTTTAATCAGTAATACATTTACATACATTAAAAACTTTCATTTTTGAATTTCTGTCTGCTATGCACGCACCTCTTCTGCAAGGGGTAACCACTCTTACGCATATAAATCATACATAATTATATATTCTCTTTCTCCACTTTTTTCTACACATTGAGGTATAACTGACACACAAGAATGTAAAGGTAATCAACTTCATAAAATGAAGTTCAAAATGCATTCTAAAGTTCACCTTCCTTTATCCACTGACGACTCATTTGTTCTTAATATATACAAAGGGCAGTAAACAGCACTGAATTTATATAAAGATGTCACAGGGAGTTGTGTAGGGCTCCAATGTGAAGCTAATAGGTTATGAGTGCCCTCAGGGATGCCAGATAAAAATTTCTTTTGTGCTTTAGCTGTTTCTTGTTTGTGGCGATTACGTGAGCCATATTCAGATCCAGGAATCCACAGTTAGAAATGGTCTTTGGGGCTGTTGTCTTACACTCGGTCTTCTAGGCCCTATTTGAAGTCCTAATGTAAACTACGGAGCTTTGTTAATAATAAACCACTTACCAGCTTTGAAATCTTGGGCAACATAATTTCCCTGAGATTTATTTTCCCCAATGAAGAAGGTTACTGTGAGGATCAGGTAGTGTATCCCTCCCCACTGTCAACACCACCCACCAGAGTGGTGCATTTGTTTCTACTGATGAACCTACATTGATCAACACATCATTATCCCCTATGGGGGAGGCTGTGCAGGGTCGGGGGTACGGGGAAATCTTTGTACCTTCCTCTAAATTGTGCTGTGAGCCTAAAATGCTCTTTAAAAGTTTTTTAAATTGTATATATAATTTTTTAAAGAATTTATTTTTTATATATTTTCATTAAAAATATATACATATATAATATACACTTCTATACCTGTGAAGTGCCTAGAATAGGTGCTCACTGAATGCCAGCCCCCGGCCCACATGGTTTCATCTTACATATGTCCTGCAGCCATGCCCAGTGTGGGCTGCCCAACTGGGTGCCCTCACGCAACTCGAAAGTTCAGGATTGTCAAACTGTGTTTCCAGAGAATGACGAGGAGCAGGAGGCACTGCCGTCTCTGGATAAACCTGGCTGGTACTCCCAAGGGAACGCTGTCCACCTGTATGAACTTCTGAAGAAAATGACCGGCAAACCTGAACCCAAGGTATTTTCTGATTGAGGCAGAGTCCTTGATGCCCATTGGCAGACATAAACCATTATAAGCAAAAACCGTAACTCTAAGTGCATTCAGCGGAATCTGTGAGGAAACATCTGCTTCTGCCTCTCTGCCAATCTCTTCTCTTACCTCTCCTGCTTAACCTAAGCCTTTCCTTTGTTGGTGTAGACGGGGTCTTCATCTGCAACAGAGAAGAGCAGAGATTCCACGCAGGGGACACAGGTCGAGGGAATACCCCGGATTAGTGTGTGGGATACCTGAGTAATGATATCCTGATAACAATCCATGAGAAAAGTTTTTCTTTGTAAAATAAGCAATAACTGGAATTACACGACAGACTAGTCTAAAGAGACACTTGCTTTTGACACCCCGGTCGCATTGTTGGTGTTTGACATTGGTGCATTTTTAACAGCAAGACCTTTCGTCTGAAAAATCTCTGCCAGGAGGCCTGAGAGCCGGAGAGATCAGTGGGTAACTGAGCCCCCTGGGAACTCCTGAGGGGTTTGGTGGGCAGAGCATCCTGACTTGGAGGCTCTAGTTCATATTCCTTTAACCTTGTTTTCTCTTCTATAAAGGGGTGTGGACTAGATCAGTAGGACATGGCCTCAGAATACCTGGGCTGCTTCTCAGAGTCCACTTCCCAACCCCTCTCTCAGAGATTCTGTTTCAGCAGGTCTGGCAAGGCCCAGAAACTCTTCGGGAAAGTGACTGTGATGTGCACTCCTCTAATCGAACCCACTGTAACGAGGCATCTCTAGTGTCGCACCCGTTATTAATTCTAGGGGCAGGTCTCACTGTAAACATATGGACTCTTTCACTTCTTCAGAAAATGGAATAAAATTGCTTATTTTCTACCTTTCTTGTACCTGTGGATATGTTATATAACTTCTTAAAGCAGACATGGAACCCTGCAAACCAAATGGGGCAAGTCCGCGGTCACCCTTTATTCAAGGAGCTTTAGCATGTCTTACTCCAGTACCTGTTGAGGAATGTTCTTCTGCCTTCCCTGAAATGAGCACCACTCTCACAGTTCTCATGCCTCCAACAGAATGTGATGTCTGCCTTACAGGTTGTTTACTTTGGTGACAGCATGCACTCAGATATTTTCCCAGCCCGTCATTACAGTAATTGGGAGACAGTCCTCATCCTGGAAGAGCTCAGAGGGGACAGAAACGGGAAACCTGAGGACTCAGAGCCTCTAGAGAAGAAAGGGAAGTATGAGGTAAGGGTTCCCTTGAGTTCTTTCATTGAAAGAAAAACCATTATGTTTGACATCGCTTACAAAGTGCTTGTTCGTGCCAAGAGTGATGAAATCTGTGGCAGTTCATTGTGATCTTCTTGCCAGCTCAACTCTATAAGTTGATCTTGTTGATAATTTTTAAATGATGCCAAGATAATGCCGACCATCTGTCTGTATTCCACCCCTCTGCTTTTATCCAATGCTGTGGCACCGTGGATGGCTTTTCGCTGGTGCTGAGGCAGCCAGATCCTGACTCACTATATTCACATTGTCTCTTTTTCTTGGCCATGAAACTTCCTGTGCTCTCTTCATGGGTCTAACTTAACTAAATTGGTAGCTCCTTTAGACTTAACTCCTGAGCCCCCAGAATGAACTTAGGTGAAGACTTGAGGTAAAGAAAAGTAAAATGTGTCATAAATGTAGAAAGGTTTTAATAGTGTTTAATAGCAAAAACAAACAGGAAAGAAGAAAGATCACAAAATAAAATGCATTTTTCTAAATTCATCCCGGTGGAACCATTGTAAAGAAGGATAAACTCAAATCAAAAAATAAATATTTCAAAAAATACCAATAAAAAGAAATAAGCTATCAAGCCACAGAAAGACATGGAAGAACCTTAAGTGCATATTACTAAGCAAAAGAAGCCAATCTGAAAAGGCTATGTACTGTATGATTCCAACTATATGGCAGTCTGGAAAAGGCAAAACTATAGAAAGAGTAAAGAGACCAGTGAGTGCCAGGGGCTCGGAGGGGGGGGGGAGTGAATAAATGAAGCACAGGGGATTTTTATGGTGGCAGAACTATTCTGTATGATACTGTAATGGTGGATACATGACATTATGCATTGGTCAGAACCCATGCAATAGTACAACATAAAGTGTGAACCCTAAAAGGGTTACCGTATTTGCCGGCGTATAAGACGACTGGGCGTATAAGACGACCCCCTAACATTTCCACTCAAAATACAGAGTTTGTTATATACTCGCC